TATTGTCGAATCGAATCGAACGACTCGTCACGGTTGATGTCGACCCGTCATACCGGAAGTCGATTTGCAAGACACTTAGAAAATATTCGGCGAGTAACTACGAAAGGAAGTTGGAGATATTGTCGCATCGACTCGATTCGACTCGAATCGAACGACTCGTCACAGTTGATGTCGACCCGTCACAGCGGAAGTCGATTTGCAAGATACTTAGAAAATATTCCGCAAGTGGTTACAAAAGGGGGTTGCAGATTTTCTCGAATCGAACGAATACCCTAATTTAACGCTTAAGTATGTATTGTCTTCTTTTGCGAATCGACTTCCGGTGAGATGGATCGACTTTACTGATGACGAGTCGTGTCGACCCGTACGAATCGTGTCGATTGGTCAACATTCAATGCCCCTATTTAACCTTTTTTAGGAAGGAAGAAGGTTCATTTTAATATTGATAACATTCTGACAATGGACTTCCGGCCGTTTCACGCTTTAAAACGTGGAAGGTTCATGTTGTCATTTTTCTTTCATACTAACCATTTTCACACATTGCTCACGCCCCTCGACTTCCGGTATGTTAACGCACGATTCGACTTCCGGTATACCATGCTACTCATTTCACACATTGCTTACCGCCCTCCACTTCCAGTATGTTAACGCACGATTCGACTTCCGGTGTGTTGATTCGTCAGCGACCATAGACGAATCGTAACGGTTTGGATGTATTGGACATGTATGATTGAGGCCATCCAAACAGAAACCACATTTCGAACACCACACCTTTGGTCTTCGTCAGGCAGTGAGGTTAATTGAACATGAGGCTCCAACAACAGAATATTCGTTCGTTCGTTTTTATTACAGGTGCGTTTTGATGTGCTGTCATCAATGCATTTCGCTAACATCATGAATAATAATGACTCATATGCTTAAACTACTATTTAATCTGTTATGATAATGATTAATTGGTGCATCAGTTAAGAAGCTGTTCCACTTTTTGTAGCCCACAAACAAGGATTACATCGTGCCAGCGAAGGAGGGATTACATCACTGTGATATTCTTCGTAAACTTCTGTTATTCGTCTACAGAATGAAAAATAAGGAGACAAAACAACATAAGCAAGTACGCAAAATATAGCTCGATGCCAATCAATTCCCCTATCTTAACCGTTAGACTCCCAAGATCTGATTGAAATTCTTCCTTTCAGCTCTTATACTTTGACCAGTAAACATGCAAGTTCAGAAAATTTAGTGATCTATCAGGAAAAATACCTATCAGCCGATAGATTTATCTCATCTTTTCGTCTGCATGCTCGCTGGATAATGTATTTAAAAATAAGCACTAAAAAGAAGTTACATGCTCATTACTGCAAAAATTGAAGGGATGCCATATTAATGTTTGAGCTTTACTGCCATACTGCAATTACGTATGTAATTAAAACTATAAAAAATTCTCGAACGTGATTGGTTATCACCAGCCCGATTTCAGTACTAAAAGGACAGTGTACGCGTCATGCTTGTAATTGGACAGTTTAATAGGAGAGTTATAGGGACAGTCAACTTGTCATACCTGCGTAAGTGGACAGAGCGCGTCATGCGCGCGCGCTGTTGTCTCGCATTTCGCCGATTTAACTGTTGTTTTAATGTAAAGGTCCAGTCTCTTTTCCAAAATGTTTTGATTAATTGGTAACAGGACTTGAGTCGTCCAATTCTTTCTGGTAATGATACTCGTAATTGACAAATCGAACTCTTGCTTCGCGTTCGTCTGATTTTATTTATCACTTGTATGATTAGCGACCGTATTGAATTCCACCCAGTCCAATTACCATTATAACTGGCCTTAGACCTGGGGACTCTTTAATGAAAACCAGTCCATTGCGCTGAGTTTCCCTCTGCCCCACCTCCATTCCCTCCCCTCCCTTGCCGGCACACTGATCCTTTGATTTCACTTGTTGGAAGGAGTCGTTGTGAGGTTGAACGTCTCTGCGTAAAACCCGTTAACCGTTTAACTCCCAAGATCTGATTGTTAATTCTCCCCTCTAGTGCTACACATATCCTTGTAAATTAGTCATGAGAAGTTGGTGTAAGATCAAGATAACTTCTACCTGATAAGTTTGAATATTCTCATCACTTCTTTGCTGGATAATGTAAGGATATTAAAGGGAGAAGTTTCGTGTTGATCATTTCTGAGAGTTAAGCACAATAATCCAGCCAGGGATAAAAAGTTCAACTAGTAACTTACTTTTGACAAGAGAAGAGTAAAGCTCCATTCTCATTGCGATGTGAAGAGACCATTCCATCGGGAGAACTCGAACGAAGCGAACATAAATGACCGGGTTAAGATCGTGATACACAACTGTGTTCTGTCAGTGTTTCCTGGGAAAACCTGAGTAGAATATTGTGGGATGTAAAATTGACGAATGTATGCATTACACAGGAGCGGTAACTCTAAAACTGAGAACCTTAGTTGATGCTTTTCTACATGTTCATCAGCAATCAAAAATGAATATAGATATAAACTAACAGAGTTTGATCTCACTAATTTCTACTACTCGACTTCGTCTCAGACCCACCAAAAGCAAAAAAGAAAAGCTCATATTTGAATATATGATGGACCTCGTAATAGTCCAGCTGCCTGTGGTGTAGCGTTAGTGCATTGAAGTGAAGAATTCTAAGGTCTCAGGTTCTATTGCTCTATTAGGGACTCTTGATTTTCTTTCGTTGTCCCACCCTCCCCAAGAAAAAAAAACATTTTGTTCAAAAATTCATTAGTATTCATACCGTTTCTGATGTGTCTCCGCTTCGACTGTAGACACTGTAAGTTTGTACATCGTCGCCGTATTGTAGCTTGTATTCAGTAACCCACTGATCTGAATCATGTCTCCCTTTGCGTCGCTATGCCTATTACCCTTGTGATATGCTGAAGATCTACTTGCAGCCATTGTTTGGTGTCTAGCAGACGAGCTGCCCAGCCAGCAGATACATGCGTCAACGGGTCTCCCTTGAAATGTAACCTTGCATTTTGCGAGCCATGCTTATAATTATGAATGGATGATGCAGTGATCTGCGGGTCAGTAATAACTCCATTTTCCATACCTAAGGGAACTGGGCCTTTTGGTGATTCCACACATGTATTTTAGACAGAGAAAGACAATCACACATATTGACAAGTTTACCGCTGATTGCAGATGATTTCAACATTTGAACAGAAGTATAAAAATCAGTGCAGTTTAAAGTTTCGACTTCTTTTCAAGGATTTAAATAAGAAAAAAATTAACAGGTAAGAACTCTCCGTATATTAAAAGTCTCTAAACTTCAAGTCATGGTTAAGGTCATCTCGTACCCCCGGACGGTATATAATACCGAGGCACCTTCGGAGTATCCAGAGGTGTTTTTGGATAGGGATTGTCTCGTAAAATCCCCATATGTGCTTAATGCGTTGCCGTAAGCACAAATTGCATTTGAAATTATGAATGACTTTTAATTGGGAAAATACAGATCTTAAACGTCTTAGACAGCTTCTTATTATTTTCATCTTTTTTTTTTTTGTGGAGCAATGACCCTCGCAGTATTTTTCCCGTTCAATAATTTTTTTAAAACCACATTTGAGGACTTTCAAGGAAGCAGATAAGGTCAAGAAATAGTTCGTGGAGGTTCATCACGATGGGACACTCATTGACGGGAGGCTTCTTGACACAAGGACAAGAGGCAGCTAAGACGAGTAACTCCTCAGTGGTGTAAGTACAGGATCTTAGACATTAATATTAAGATTATTTTTCTACTCAGCCCTACTTACATCTGTAGCTGACGACTTTGAACTCTTCCTTGAAAACTTGACAGTTATGCTGCTCAGACATGAAAATTTTTTTTTTTTAATCAGGAAATCAACTAGTCATCCTTGTTAATCATCAAATAGAAACTCATCTTTAAATTTTTAGCCTAAAGCCAAAACTACAATTTTGTGTCTCAAATAACTGTTACCCTCTTTCAATCCACAAAATTATTTGAGAAGACTCAACACAATTAATCTTATAGTGCTTCGGAACACTTTGCAAGTATCATTTTTTTAAAGATAGAGAAAATTTGGAAAGTAGCCTATTTTATTTTTTTTAAGTCAACATTCGCAGTAACGCCGCTAATCATTCTCCACTCGCATTTATAAAGAGAGATGAAAACCCGACATTGCACCATACTATAACTTGACAGGGATCAAGGGATAGACGCATTACTGAGACAGATGATAAATGTTTACTTCTAACGTCGAAAAGATAAGTATTTACCAGACTGAGATGTCAAGAATAAAATAAAATCTCAGGTCAGAGGCTTTCGTGTTCTGATATTCCTCTAACAGAGAATTCATCAGTAAGCTAGTTCCCTTCTCGTGACAAAGAGAAAATCGTAGCTTGTCCGTCTTTTATTTAGATGTGTTCCAGTAGATAGACACATACACACTTTTTTAAGATGCCCACCTCTTGCATGGATCATTACTTAAAATAGATAAGACAAATTTTTGTTACCTTTTTGACATATAATTGAGTGTAAATAGCTTCTTCGTCATATTCCAGTTCTTTTCCTTCCTCAAGAGGGAAGGCTCCTCTGTCGTTCAGCTCACATGTTCCCTCAGTTTTGGAAACTTTTCTGAAATTTGTTGAAACGCATCGAGGGTCTCTCTGACATAGCAAACCACAGGATATCAGGCTTGCAAAGTGAAATGTTTTGAACGTAAAGCCTTTGAGTCGGCGATGATTGCGAGTTATCACAGGACAAGAAAGAGACGCTTCCTTACAAATAAATGCTTGAGATGCTATGACCTCGGACAATAATAACACAATTAAAACAGCACACAGAAAAAAATTCATTTCAGATTTTTTTCGGTCGATACTTCCGCCTTCGGTGCGTATAGTCAACTTTGTAACAGCTTCGGGAAGATTTTAATTAATTTAAAAGGAGTCCATAGATGTTTATTTAATACATTTCTTTCCATTATGACAATGGACGGGCTAATTGAAAGGATGCTCTGAGAGCTGAATAACAGAATAATTAATATTGTAATCGTTAAGTAAATGTTAAAGAGAAATATATTTGTCCGTGTGAAGTGTTAATTTCGTCAGCCATTTCTGTCTTAATAAACACTGAAATATATCATCTTATTCAAGGAAAGAAACCAAAAACAAAACAAAACTGTGAATTTCGCCTCCCCTTAAAATTCAAATCTAGTTTATTAGTTGTTGTCATTTAAATGTTCTGGTCAACTCGAAAGGCCTTACTGCCATTGTGAAGATGATAATTGATACCCGGTTAAAATTTCAGATCCACTTTATCAATTGTTATCATTCAAATGCTGTTGTTATAAACTATGGAAGCTTCAATGCAGTTGTTGGAATGGTAATTGGTATCCGGCAGTTTCTTTATAATTTATTCAGCACTTATTGCCTTAAAAGAAAAACTCTCTTCGTAACCAACACTTATTCTCATAAAGAAAACACACTTTGTAGTAAACTACACATAGCCAGTCATACTTGCGTCGAGGATAAATGCGATTCTACTCCCAATCAAACTCTGCAAAAATAAGCGGCTGATCTCTCTTAACTCTCGATATCTGCCGAAAATGAAAACTCTTTTGTCTCATATCGCTTTAACTTACATGTTAGCCGACTATCAGGATTCACCTTCAAATCTTTCATTCTGTAAGCTTAGCATCCCACAGTTTGCAATGTCAAAGAAGTTAGGTTAGGTTAGCTTTCAGTGAAGTCGCCTTTGTATGCCCAAGCCGGAAACTGAACTAATTTTAAAAAGTTTATGTAAGCAATGTTGTTATTTTCAATCACAGTATGTAAGCTGTCAAGAAGTTGAACATGGCGCGGCAGTTCGTGCTGCGAACTGACACACTCAAAAGATTAGCTCTATACGTAAAATATCCCAACAACATCTGCATATCAGAGAATATTGTGGTATTTCTGCAAAAGCGGATAAAAACAAAAGGATGGATAAAAATAAAACAACGATCTAGCGTCCTTAACGTTGTCGCTCTAATGGCGGTAGTATATCCGTTTAGTATAAAAAAGCCGTCCATCCCCCTTGATCACAATGGCTGCCGGTGTATCCATCAGAACAGGTGCACTTGTACTCATTAGTAATATTCCTGCACAATCCACCCTTTAGACAAGGGTTTTCTACACAGTGGTTCTTCCTTTCAGCTCCTATACTTTTATTTGTAAACAGGTTCAAATAATTTGATGCTCAATCAGATACAAAACCCATCAGCTGATAGATTCATCTCATTTTCTCGCCTGCTTTAAGATTATGTATTAAGAACCTAGGGATAAGTTTCATTTTTATCACTGCTAAAAGTTAAAGTAATGCGATGTAAAATGCGTGAACTCCTATAAACGCTAAGTGTGAGCATTAAGGTCAGTTCAGTGACTTTAAACAAGGGAACTATTCTTTAATTTAGTGTCAGTCTATTGTAGTATCCAGTGTTCTCCTTTTCAGGCGGTAACTGGTAACATTTACCGCCTATAGTGCCTCTTATTACCGTTTAGAATTGCTTGGAATTCTTGAAATTCAACAGGTAAAAGGATTGCTTTACCGGTTTGAAAATTTATTTTACCTGTCATGCTTAAAATAAGGGAGAACACTGATACAGTATCCGCATTTTATTACAATATTTATCAGTATTATTATATATCAGTACATCATCTGTACAACTTATATTTGTATGGTCTACCAAAGGAATCACTCAGGAAACTATAGCGCGTTCAAAATGCAGCAGCCAAGATTGTTACTCATACGCGTAAATGTGATCATATAACATCAGTACTTTGTAAACTCCACTGATTGCCTATTGAAGAGCGCATTGTTTTAGGATTCTTTTATTGACATTTAAATGTTTGAACCGCTTAGCGTCAACATTCCTCTGCGATCTTATAACAAAATATGTGCCCAGACGCTATTTAAGATCAATTAATGGCCATCGTTTGGCCATCGTTGACGTTGTTTACAAACTTACCAGATATGGTTCAAGATCATTTTCTATAGCCTCGGCTAAACTCTGGACGCACTGCCGCTGGAAATCCGTTCAAGCGTCAATTTGTTGCAATTCAAGCGCAATCTTAAAACACATCTTTTTAGGAAAGCTTTTTAACCAGATATTTTACTATTGGTTCGTCAGTTAAATAGTTCTTTAGGTAGGTAGGTAGGTAGGTAGGTAGTTAGTTAGTAAATTTCATTACGAGGTTTTATTATTCTTAGTTTTTATACTAATTTTGACAGCTTAGTTATTTTATTAGTTAGTTTATCGTACTCATGTTCTAGATATTTCTACGTGAGATATTTTCAAATCATTGCATAGCGCTATTGGATAGCGATAGAAATAGCATTATATAAATGAAGTATTTTTATCATATTAATCTCAGATTCGTCTGTCGCGAAAAGTTAAGGACTTTCAATATTTTCCTGTTGCGGACTAGAAGAGCCAAGGTGTTCACTGCCAATTTTTAATCAATGTTATTATTATTATCAATATTTTTATCATTATTATTATAATTATTAATCAATACCAGTTTCGCCCTAAGAAGTGTAATACCAGTCTCTGAACCTTAACAGCTGTACAAAGTTCCTTTATTGTGCTATTAATTTTCAACAATTCCAAAGCATAATATCTCTGGCTATCTGAGTATACACTCACACGCGATATTCATTTGCATTTTGGCAGGTTTAACTAAAACACTTGGTAAACACGTTTTAACGGCATGCCAACTCATCAGAGGTTCCTTGCCGCTCTTTTCATAATGAATACTGACTTATGTATCCACTTCCAACGAAACAAAGCCAATTACATTGTTGAAGTAGTTAAGAGACCATGAAAAATTACATATTTTATTACAAGACACTACCTTGGTTTTCATCGAGGCCATCTAAACATAAGTGGGTCTTCGTCAGGCACTGAGGTTAATTGAACATGAGGCTCCAAAAAGAGAATATTCGTTCGTTCGTTTTCACAGGTGCGTTTTTATGTGCTGCCATTGGTGCATTTCGCTCACATCATTAATAATAATGACTTATACGCTTAAACTACTATTCAATCTGTTATTAATAACGATAATTAATTGGTGCATCAGTCAAGTAGGTGTTGCACTTTGTAGCCCACAAACAAGGATTACATCGTGTCAGCAAAGGAGGGATTACATCACAGTGATATTCTTCGTAAACTTCTGTTATTCGTCTACAAATAAGAAAATATGGAGACAAAACATCATAAGCGAGCACGCACAATATAGTTCAATGCCATTTATTTCAATTCCCCCGCCTTAACCGTTAGACTTTCAAGATTTGATTGAAAATTCATCCTTTCAGCTATTATGCGTTTACCAGTAGACATAGTGCAAGTTCAGAAAATTTGGTGCTCTATCAGAAAAAGTGCCTATCAGCTGATAGATTCATCTCATCTTTTCATCTGTATGCTCGCTGGATGACGTATTCTGAAAATAAACGCTAAAAAGAAGTTACATGTTCATTACTTAAAAAATTGCTCAGGGTTAGGGTTAGGTTAGGGTTAGGGTTAGGGTTAGGGCTAGGGTTTAGGGTTTAGGGTTAGGGTTGGGGATGCCACATAAAATGTTTGAGCTTCACTGCCATATTGCAATTACGTATGTAATCAAAAGAATGAAAAAATGTTTGAAGGTATTTCGTTATCACTAGCCTTATTTGATCACTTAGAGGACAGTGTACGCATCATGCTTGTAATTGGACAGTGTAATACGACAGTTGAAGAGGATGTTATAAGAAACACGTGAAACCTGCGTAAACGGATAGAACGCGTCGTGTACGCGCGCTATTGCCTCGCATTTCGCCAAGTTAAGTGGTGTTTTTCTTTATATTAAAGGGAGAAGTTTTATGGTGATCATTTCTTAGAGTGAAGCACAATAATCCAGCCAGTAACTTACTTTGACAAGAGTAAAGCTCCATTCTCATTCCGATGGCGCCAATCCAATCCATCGGAAGAACTCGAACGAAGCGAGCATCAATGACCGGGTCAATATCGTGATACACAACTGTGTCCCTGTCAGTGTTTCCTGGGAAAACCTGAGTAGAATATTGTGGGATGTACAGTTGACGAAGCTATGCATTACACAGGAGCGCTAACTCTAAACCTAGAACCTTAGTAGATGCTTTTCTACATGTTTATCAGCAATCAAACATAAATATAGATATAAACTAATACAGTTTGATCTCACTAAATTCTACTACTCGTTCTCTAGCGTTCTCAAGTATCTCGACTTCACAAAAAGCAAAAAGAGAAAAGCTCATGTTTGAACATATGATGGACCTCGTAATAGCTCAGCTGAACCTTGTAATGGCTCAGCTGCCTGTAAAGTCGCTATGGCGTAGCGTTAGGGCATTGAAGCGCAGAATTCGAATCTCTGAGGTTCTATAACTCATGGAAACTCTTAATTGTTTTTCTTTGGTTCACCCTCGCAGCAAAAAGGAAAAAAAGCATCTTGCTCAAAAAGTCATTCTCGTTTATACCCTGTCTGATATGTCTCCGTTTCGCCTGTAGACACTGTAAGGTTGTCCATCATCGCCATATTGTAGCTTGTATTTAGTAACCCACTGATCGTAATCATGTCTCCCTTGCGTCGCTATGCCTATTACCCTTGTGGTTTGCTGAAGATCCACTTGAAGCCACTGGTTGGTGTTTCGCTCACCAGCTCGCCAGCCAGCAGATACAAACGGGGCTTTGGCCCCCTTGAAGTGTAACCTGGCATTTTGTGGGACATGTTGATTACTGTACACGGACGATGCACTGATCTGCGAGTCAGTAATAACTCCACTTTCTATACCCAGGGGAACTGGGCCTTTTGATGACTCTTCACCTGTATTTTGGACAGAGAAACACAATCACACGTATTGTGAAGGCTACCATTAATGACTGCAGATACTTTCAACGTTTGAACAGGAATATCAAAATCACTGCAGTTTAAAGTTTCGATTTCGTCTTTAGGATCCAAATTAGAAAAAAATTAACAGATGAGAACTCTCCGAATATTAAAAGTCTCTGAACTTCAAGTGATGGTCAAGTTCTTAAATGTCATCTCGTATCCCGGACGGTAATTAATACCACGGTACCTTCGGAATATCCAGAGGTTTTTGCATAGGGATTGCCCTGTACAATCCCAAGATGTGTTTAAGGTTATCGCGTTCAAGTTTCGCAATGCGTTTTCGTAGGGACAGACTGCATTTGAAATTATGAATGAGTTTTAATTGGGAAAATACGAATCTTCAACGTCTTAGAGAGCTTCTTATTTTCTTCATCTTTTTGTTTTGTTCAGAAATGACCCTCGCAGTATTTTCCCGCGCAATATTTTTTCTTTTAAACCACACTCGAGGACTTTGAAGGTAGCAGATAGACGACGTCCAGAAATGGTTCGGGGAGGTTCACGACGATGGTCTGGACGAGAAGTCTCTGCACTACCAGGAGCTACTGAGAAAATTCAATTCTAGTGATCTGTGTAGTGTATAGTATCAGGTGCTAAGATATGATGAAAACAGTTTTTAAGGCAATCTAGTTTGAAACGATGCCGAACGATGATCTTTTTCAAATGAGAAATACTGAACGCAACCTACGAGGATCAAGGAAACTTGTTATCTCATACGTTAACACAAACTCTGATGGTCTTCATTCCCTCAGATACACTTCTGCAAACATATTGAACAAACTAAAAGAGGACCTAAGATCATTGACGTCCTTGAATGAGTTTAGAACTAAAATATGCCAAATTTCTTTTGAACATCAATGCATTTGTTACTTATAGTGGTTAATGTACTGTATATAATATACGATTTTACTTTTATTTATTTATTTTCTGTTTTTCTTTTTCTTTTTCTCGGAGAAATTAGCTATACAGCTACTCTTGTAAATCCGAAGAAGATGAGGGAGACTCCGCAAGTATTGACGGGAAGCCTCTTGACACAAAGGCAAGAGGCGGCTGAGACTAGTAACTCCTCAGTGATGTAAGTGCAGGATCTTAGACGTTAATTTTGAGAATATTTTTCTATTCAGCCCTACTTACATTTGCAGCTGACGACTTTAAACTCTTCCTTGAAAACCTGACAGTTGTGCTGCTCAGATATAAGAATATATATTTTTTTAAAGGAAATTAATTAGTCATCTTGGTTACTCATCAAATAGAGACCCATCGTTAAATTATTAGCACAAAACTGAAAATTTCAGTTCTGTGTCTCAAATCATGAATGTTATCTTCTTTCAGTCCACAAAATTATTTTAAGAATACCCAACTTAATTAACTCTAACTGCACTGTTCTTGGGAGGACTTTGCAAGTGTCATTTATCCAAAGATACTGAAAATTTGGAAAGTAGCCCATTTTTTTATTTGTCAATATTCGTGGTAACGCCGCGAACCATTCTCCGCTCGCGTTTATCAATAGACTAATGAAAATTCGACATTGCACCATAGCATAACTTGAAAAGGATCAAAGGATAGGCACATTACTAAGACAGATAAGACAGATGGTAAATTTGTACTTCTAACGTCGAAAAAATAATCATTTTATCACAAAGATGTCAAGAATTAAATGAAATCTCAGGTCAGAGTATTTCGTGTTCTGATATTCCTCTATCACCCAACACAAAATCCATCCGTAAGCTTAGTCCCATTCTCATGACAAAGCGAAGATCGTAACTTTTTCGTCTTTTATTTAGGTGCGTTCCGATGAATAGACACATACAAACTTTTTGAGATGCCCACTTCTTGTGTGGATCATTACTTAAAATAGATAAGACAAATTTTTGTTACCTTTTTGACATATAATTGAGTGTAAATAGCTTCTTCGTCATATTCCAGTTATTTTCCTTCCTCAAGAGGGAAGACTCCTCTGTCGTTTAACTCACAGGTTCCTCTAGTTTTGGAAACTTTTCTGAAATTTGTTGAAACGCATCGAGGGTCTCTCTGACATTGCAAACCACAGGATATCAGGCTTGTAAAGTGAAATGTTTTTAGCGTAAAGCCTTTAAGTCGGCGATTATTGCGAGTTATCACAGGACATGAAAGAGACGCTTCCTTACAAAGAAATGCTTGAGATGCTACGACTTCGGACATTAATAACACAACTAAAACAGCACACAAAAAAAAATTCATTTCGGTTTTTTTTGGTCAAGACTTTGCCTTCGGTGCGTATACTCAACTTTGTAACAGCTTCGGGAAGATTTTAATTAATTTAAAAGGAGTTCGTAGATGTTTATTTAATATTCTTCTTTTCAAATATATTTCTTTTCTGTCCAATTATAATCAAATGGACGGGCTAATTGAAAGAATGCTCTGAGCGCTGAATAACAGAATAATCAATTTTATAATCGTTCATTAAATGTTAAAGAGAAGTATTTGTCTGTGCCAAGTGTTAATTACGTCAGCCATTTCTGTATGAATAAACATTGAAATATACCATCTTATTCAAGGAACAAAAAAAATCTGTGAATTTCGCCTCCCCTTTAAATTCAAATCTAGTTTATCAGTTGTCGTCATTTAAATTTCTGGTCAACTCTAGGGGCCTTATTGCCGTTCTGAAGTTAACAATTGATACTCAGCTAAAAAATTTCAGACCCACTTTATCAATTGTTATCATTAGAATGCTGTTGTGAACTATAGAGGCTTCAATGCAGTTGTTGAAATGGTAATTGGTATCCGGCAGTTTCTTTATAATTTATTCAGCACTTATTGTCCTAAAAGAAAAACTTTCTTCGTAACCAACACTTATTCTCATAAATAAAATACACTTTGTAGTAAACTTCACATAGCCGGTTACATTTGAGTTGAGGATAAATGCGATTCTACTTCCAGTCATATTCTGCAAAAATAAGCATCTGATCTTCCTAAACTCTTGTCAACTTATTGGCTTGTCTCAAATGTAAACTCTGTTCTCTCATATCGCTATAACGTACATAATAGCCGACTATCAGGATTCACCTTCAAATATTTTATTCTATAAGCTTGGGGTCCTACGGTCTGCAATGTTAAAGAATTTAAATTAGGTTACCTTCCAGTGAAGTTTGTTTTTGTGACACATTGGTATTCAAGATAAGTATACAAACGCTAAGAATTGGCATTGTATGTGATAAAGAAATTTTCAAAGGGAGCATTGAGTAGGGAAAATTTGAAGTATACCCAAGCCGGACTCTGAACGAATTTTAAATAGCTTATGTTAACAATAGTGTTATTTTCTTTCAGAGTATATAAGAGGGTCCCTAATAAGTTTCTCAGGATCTGGGATTGGGCTTTTTTAAAGGCTGAGATCCGGGAATTTTGAGTAAGAGGGATGCGAGATGCTGGATTGCTATAGTGAACGGGACGCGGGAATCAGTGATTTTGAGGAGCAGGATTCGGGAAGTAATCACTTCAAACGAATCGAGAACCAGGATGTCCGTTAACGGGAATGAATGAAGAAATTGATCTTCTTAGTCCATGAAAAGCACCAGGCGCACAGGCTCACTAGCATTCAAGGGGCGGTCGGGTTGGTCAGTGAAACTCTTCAACTATTGCGCGGGAACGAAAATTCTATGAGAAGCGAAGTTGCCAGTTTACCAAAAAATCCTCAGTGGTTCAAAGAGTAACTTGGTATCTAAGACTGCTGCGTCTGATGGACTTGAAACCCTCCAGCAAGTCTCAGAATTATACCGATATGACACTCGTAACTGTTGAGTTGTTTGACATTAGACGAGGCACATATTTGCTCGGTTGTGTATCACAAAGATAAATTTTTCACTGTGTTAGATTACGCAAGAAACTTTGGAAATGCAGCAAAAGAAGGCTTAAAGAGGCGAACCAATTGGGCGGCGTACTATTTTACAAATCTAAATTCTTGGTATCCTCTATCGGAACGTGCCATGATCCTGTCAGTAGTTTAACCGTTACCACCTGCACTGATGGCACCGCAGAGCATACAGAAGATGTGCGGACTGGACATAAACATTTTTTGCAGCAGCAAAAGTAAACATCGTTTTGCAGTGCGTCAGCGCTCTGTCAGATAGGAAACACCGATGGCAAGAGGTTGAACTGCCCAGTTGTACCTCTATCAGAGAGAAATTTAGCAGGGCGGGCGGGTCAGCCTCGAACACTCTGATTTCGAGGAGCAGCAAGAAAACAGTAGGAAACAAGAAGAAGAGGAAGACGGAATATTAGAGTACAATTCCACGTGTGATGATGAAGATATTCCATCTTTGGAATGAGAGGCTAATTCTCTCCTCGGAAGAGGTTCCCGAAAAACTATAACAAAACTCTCGAACGTGATTGGTTATCACCAGCCCGAGTAGAGCACTAATAGGACAGTGTGCGCGTCATGTATGTAATTGGACAGTGTAATAGGACAGCTATAGGGACAATTAACACGTCATGCCTGCGTAAGTGGACAGAACGCGTCATGTGCGTGATGTTTCGCCGATTTAACTCTTGTTTTTTTAATTTTATGAAGACGTATAACCGATGTCCAGTCTCTTTCTTAAATGTTTGCAGAGTTTTGATTAATTGGTGACAAAACCTCGAGTCGTCCAATTCTCTCTGATAATCATACTCGTAATTAACAAATCTCCCCTTTAGCTGCTACACATATCCTTGTAGATTAGTTAGAAGAATTTGATATAAGACCAAGATGACAACTTCTACCTGATAAGTTTGAATATTCTTATAACCTGTTTGCTGGGTAAGGTAAGGACATTATAGGGAGAAAATCCATGTTGATCATTTCTGAAAGTTAAGCACAATAATCCAGCCAGGGATAAACAGTGCAACCAACAACTTACTTTGACAAGAGTAAAGCTCCATTCTCATCCCGATAAAGTCAAACCATTCCATCGGAAGAACTCGAACGAAGCGAGCATCAATGACCGGGTTAAGATCGTGATACACAACTGTGTCCCTGTCAGTGTTTCCTGGGAAAACCTGAGTAGAGTATTGTGGGATGTAGAATTGACGAATGTATGCATTATACAGAAGCAGTAGGTCTCAACCTAGAACCTTAGTTGATGCTTTTCTACATGTTTATCAGCCATCAAATACAAACATAGATATAAACTAATACAGTTAGTCTCACTAATTTTTTACTAGTCGTTCTCTAGCGTTCTCATGTATCTCGACCTCGTCTCAGACCTACCAAAAGCAAAAAAAGAAAAGCTCATATTTGAACATATGATGGACCTCGTAATAGCTCAGTTGTCTGTAAGGTCACTGTGGCGAAGCGTTAGTGTATTGGAGCGAAGAATTCGAAGGTCTGGGGTTCTATCGCTCTTGGGGACTAATTGTTTTTCGTTGTCCCACCCTACAGCAAGAAGGAAAAAAACATCATGTTCAAAAAGTCTTTCGTATTCATACCGTGTCTGATGTGTCTACGTTTCGCTTGTAAATCCTGAAAGTTAGTCCATCATCGCCATATTGTAGCTTGTATTTAGTAACCCACTGATCCCAATCATGTCTCCCAGCGTCGCTATGCCTATTACCCTTGTGGTTTGCTGAAGATCCACTTGCAGCCATTGGTTAGTGTTTTTCACTCCAGGTACCCAGCCAGCATATCTGACCGGGTTTTTTGATCCTTTGAAATATAATCTAACATTCGGTACGGCATGTCTATCATTAAACATGGAGGAAGCGGTGATCTGTGAGTCAAAAATAGCACCGCTTTCTATGCCGAGGGGAACTGGGACTTTTGGTGATTCTGCACCTGAAATTGAGACACAGAAATACAATCACACAGATATTGATTTTTTCATCATGGAATAAAGGAGGACTTATATTTTTCATAATTCTCATTACCTGTCTGATTGATATTGTATGGTTATTATAAGGAGAAATTCTGTCTTGGTCACTCGTGGGAATTAAAGGCTTGATTTCCACTTTGATTTAGAAGTGACCTAAGCAACAATTTACTCGGCAATTTTTTTTGACAACATTCGTGGACTTTCAAGGAAACTATAAGAATCGGAGTGTTTCAAGCAGGTTCGGGAATGTTTGCGAAGGTTTGCGAAGGTTCGCGAGGACGGCAGACTCCGTAACTATTGGCGGAGAGACAAGAAGCAGCCAGGACAAGAAACTCATTGTAATTTAAACACGAGATCGTTGACATTAACCTCAAGAATACCTTTCAAACCAACACTACTTACATTTGCATTTGACGACTTCTAAATCTTCCTTGGATGCCTGACAGTAGTGCTGAAAACATAAAACATCATTCATTTTTTATTTTATCGGGAAATCAACTAGTCTTCCGGGTTCATCTCTGTATGGAGACTGCACAAGTGAGCTAATTGAAGGCCAAACGATAAAAACATTCAAAGAAAAATATGAGAGACAGAAATTTTTCACATCTGTCGTCGAAATATGAAAATTTTTATGAGAAAGATACCACGAATGTAAGACAAATGTCTCGTGGAATCAGTAACACCTTCTTCTTCGTCTTTTATCGAGACTTTTTTGGTTACCTTCGTGTCGTAAAATTGGGTATAAATTGCTTCTTCGTCGTATTCCAATTCGTTTCCTTTCTCAGAAAGGAGAACTCCTCTGTCGTTCAACTCACAGGTTCCCTTACTTTTGAAAACTTTTCTGAAATTTGTTGAAACACATCGAGGGTCTCTCTGACATAGCAAACCACAGGATGTCAGGCGTGCAAGGTAAAATGTTTTGAACGTGAAGCCTTTAAGTCGGCGATGATTGCGAGTTATCACAGGACATGAAAGAGACGCTTCCTTATAAATCTAGTTTATCAGTTGTTGTCATTTAACTTTTCTGGTCAACTCAAGAAGCCTCACTGCCGTTGTGAAGTTAATAATTGATACTTAGTAAAATATCAGATCCAATTGTTATCATTCAAATGTTGTTGTGAACTATAGAAGCATCAGTGCCGTTGTTGAAATGGTAATTGGTATCCGGCATTTTCTTTATAATTTATTCAGCACTTATTGTCTTAGAAAAGAAACTCTTTTCGTAGCCATCACATATTCTCATAAATAAGAGTAATAAACTGAAACGTATCGAGGGTCTCTCTGGCAAACTACAGGATATCAGGCCTGCAAGATGAAATATTTTGAGCGTGAAGCCTTAAGTCACAGAAAAAAATTCTTTTGGTTTTTTTTTTTCGGTTGAGACTTTACCTTCGGTGCGTACACGCAGTATTGTAAAAGCTTCGAAAAGATTTCAATTAATATAAAACGAGTTCAGAGACGTTTATAAAAATTTTTTCCAATTATATTCAGAAAGAATGCTCTGAGAGCTGAATAACAGAATAATTAATAGAGAAAAATGTTTTTTCGTCTTGTCACGAACGTGGGACAAAGAAAAAAATTCTAAGTCCCCATGAGAAAACGAACCTCAGACCTTCGGATTCCGCGCTCCAATACTCTAACCACTGAGCCACATAGACTCCGCGGTGAGCGAGGTCTATTACGACGTTCATATGGCACGCGTCCTGCATACTGCTAGGATCAGCAATGTCGAAAGCGTAATGTTTGTAGATAGAAATAAGAGAGATGGTAAATTTTCGACATTGCTGATCCTAGTACTCAGAACTTTTTCTTTTTTTCTTTGTCCCACGCTCCTGAAAAGACGAAAAAACATCTTTCTCTATTTCTTTACAGAGCTAAAAACTTACCATCTCTCTTATTTCTAGAATAATTAATTTTGTAATTGTTCATTAAATGTTAAAGAGACATATTTGTCCGCGCGAAGTGTTAATTGCGTCAGCCATTTCTGTCTAAATAAACACTGAAATATATCATCTTATTCAAGGAATGAAAAATAAATCAAAACGAAACTGTGAATTTCGCCTTCCCTTAAAATTCAGATCTAGTTTATCATTTGTTGTCGTTTAAGTGTTCTGTTCAACTCTAGAAGCCTCATTGCCGTTGTGAAGTTTATAATTGATACTCATTGAAAATTTCAGATCCACTTTATCAATTGTTATCATTAAAATGTTGTTGTGAACTAAAGAAGCATCAATGCCGTTGTTAAAATAGTAATTGGTATCCGGCAGTTTCTATATAATTTATTCAGCGCTTATTGTCTTAAAAAAAAAACTCTCTTCGTAACCAATTCTCATAAATAAAACACACTTTGTTGTAAACTACACATAGCCAGTTACACTTGAGTCAAGGATAAATGCGATTCTACTTCCGGTCATACTCTGCAAAAATAAACGGCTGATCTCTCTTAACTCTCGACATCTTATTGGGTTGTCGCAAATGAAAACTCTCTTTTGTCATATCACTATAACGTACTTAATAGCCGATTATCAGGATTCACCTTCAAATCTTTTATTCTGTAACCTTAGCATCCTACGGTTTGTATTGTCAAAGAAGTTAGGTTAGGTTAGCTTTCAGTGAGGTCGCCTTCGTTTGTGTAATACATTCGGATTCAAGGTAAGTACACAAACACTAAAAAGAGTTACAAGCATTGGTAGGGAAAAACGAAAGTATATCCAAGCCGGAAAATGAACTAATTTTAGATAGCTTATATAAACAATGTTGTTATTTTCATTCACAGTATGTAGGCTGTCAAGGAGTTGAAACATAGCACGGCAGCTCGTGCTGAGAACTAACATACTGAAAAGATTAGACCTATAAGTAAAGTACCAATAACACCTGCATATCAGAGAGCATTGTGGTATTTCTGCTAAAGTGCGTGCTATTTTCCAGGGTACTAGCTGATCGAGTTTGCCTGTCATGAATACAAGAACGTAGCTCAAACTATTTTGCAAGGTAGTCTGGAGCAAGATTATTAATGCACTTAAAAACCATAGTTGCATCATTCAATTTAAGTCTATCTTTAATAGGGAGCCAATTCAATGATCTTACATCGCCAGAAATCAAGGACATTTCGAGCCAACTAAAAATTATCAGCGGTATATCGTAATACACTCCAGAACGCACAAATTTTTTTGGGATCACTTTCCGAAGGAGCTTAGAAACCAGGCTCAACTCAGAAGCCAAGCCTACTGAATTTGTGCCCAAGCCTTTTCTTGCTTGCGTGACCTTTTTTGTCACACTGGAGAATTCAAGGAACTTCGGCGTGCAGTAAACACAAGCTCAAATTTTTAAATCAGCAAAGAGAAAAACGTTTTGAGACTGAAAGGTAAGTAAGTAAGTAATTATTTTAGTTTTTTACAACCTAAATTTATTGTTTTGCTTTGTAATTTACAACGTACAATAAATTATTAAATTAATAACTCGAAGAGCTTTCAGCTAAAATTTAACTCTTTATTAATAACCTTACACTTTCTTGATCTGATACCTCAATTAGCGATAACACCAGAAATCATTTGCTTTTGTTGTATATACTATATGTATACCTAACTTGTTGAAGTACGTTGTTATGAAATAATGCACTCTGAGCAACAGTTAATCTGATTTCACAAAACTGAGCTAATGTTTAAATTGTTCCCTGGACTGCCTGGACATCTGAGGCAACTGATAATGCATTTGAGAGTGGAAGGGATGCTTACTTCATAGTGGCTATGGCTGTACCTGTCCTTGAATTTGCCCTGTTATTTGTAATAGATTTTCAATGCATTGTCTGTTATTTTTTTCAGGAAATTTTAGTCTGCAAGAAATTTTTTTTCCAGAAGAATCCTTTTCCTGTAACGTGTACAACTGTTGCTTACGTTTGCCATATTACTGATATTTCTAACATAACAGAATTTGCACAAAAATGTTTTGACATTGAATTCTTATACAAATACTGCAAGGTCTCGCCTGCTCACCAACCCATCAAGGTGGTGTTGAAAACTGCAGTAAGGTCTATTGAATATAGTTAAAGTACTGAATTTCACTCCATGACTTACAACTACAGAATATGGGGCTTTTTTATGATTATGTACCAAAACAAAAAAAAAACTTTCTTGGCTCATTTGCATCAAGCCACCTAATATAATGTATTCAGTGTCTTGTTTTTGTATCTGAATCAGTGCTTAGTTAGAATCGATATCTAAATCTTAATTATAATCATTTAAATCCAACTGAATGTATTTCTTTTATCATTTTCCGCTGACTGCCAAACCAGCGTGCCTCGAGACATTAAACGGTGAGAACTTTTAAAAAGGCCCTGTATTGTATATATGTAGCTGCTTTGAGGGAAAGGGTGGTAAAGTTTCAAATTTGTTTAAGAGTATGTAACACAATAATAATAATAATGATAATAGTAATAACAATAATAACTCATTTTTTCCATCATTTGTAGAAAATGCATCTTACCTAGAGTAATAAGTGGAACATACCAGAATAACCTTTTTATTAATGCAAGGCCTCGGTGGTGCACAGTTATGACATGAAAATAATTTTCTCTCGTGTGAGGCATCAGTCAATTTAGGAATTACCAAGTATAAAATATCAAGTCAATATGGTCCAGAACCTACTCATTTTTGTAGAGGGGTCGAAATTATTAGGTTTGCGCACCGTTTTCACTCTTTGCACCCTGAGCACTCATACACGCACGCTTCAGATGGATGCTCAACACAAAAGCGTCAAAAAATAATCAAGCAAATAACT